AGACAGACAGACAGACAGACAGACAGACAGACAGACAGACAGACAGACAGACAGAGAAAGAAAGGGAAAGAGTGTGAGAGAGAAAGAAAGAGAGGGGGAGAGAGAGAAGATAGATAGAGAGAGAGGTTGGGGTTAGGGTCTTTTTTTATTGTTAAAAATAAATGCATAAAACTGGGAACAGATAGAGAAATGAGCTTACAACTAAGTAAATAAAATAAAATCAACCGATCAATAAATGAATGAGTGAATGAATGAATGAATGAATGAATGAATGAAAACATAAATTATCAATAATTTTAAAAAAATTAATAAATAGAATAAATAATGTTTTTCTTTTTAAAGTTCGAGGCTCTGGCAGTATTTCATCTCCCCTCAGCTGACTGGACTTATCCACGACATCGGCAAGATCATGCACATCTGGGGAGAGCCTCAGTGGGCTACAGTGGGCGACACGTTCGTGGTGGGCTGTGCCCCGGACCCCAGCATCGTCTTTGGCGTGGAGTCCTTCGCCAACAATCCTGACCTCAAGGACCCTCGCTACAACACGACTCTAGGCATGTACGAGGCGAACACCGGCCTGGATAATGTGCTCATGTCTTGGGGGCATGATGAGTACCTATACAGAGTGCTTCTAGTGAGTTTTTAGTTTTAGTAAGAGTTAGCTTAGTTTTCTAGAAAGGTTTAATGGCGCTCGCAAAAGCATAAGGTCACATTATGAGCGCCAAGGGGTAGATGTCAACGGAGAAGTCGAAACGAGGAATCAGGCCTATTTGGCTCACCTCTCTAGCCTCAACAGCATAAAACCCGCTTCAACTATCAAAGCACTCCGGAAATAGCAGTTCACAAGAGGGTGACCAACATACAAAAGAAGTAGAGTGAAAATGACGATAGTAAGGATGAGGAAAGAAAAAGTAGCAGTCCCCCCCTATCTTGTTCTGGCACAGTATGAGCATGACATTGATAAATCAGCCCATTGACAATTCTACTGCGCATAATAAGAACATTTTATTACCCCCCCCCCCCCCTTCTATGGGAATGGCCTAAAGACAACTTCATCTATGGGAATGGCCTAAAGATAACTTCAGTCCGTTGCACTGCCCTGGAGAGGGGCTTAGTAAGAGTTTTGCTGCACTTGCAATACAATAAGGTCATATAAGTGCCCAATGGTAGTGAGTACAGTTGATAGTTACGGCTATTATTAGTACCGGCGTTTGTGGTGTAGGGGTTAGGTGCCTCGCTGTCGCACGCAGAGGACCTCCCTTCGATTCTTGAGTGGGTGGGGGGATGGGGGTATTTTTATCGAGTATCTCGGTCTTTCTGATGGGATGTTGTATCCTTCTTACTCTTCGCCCAGGTTGGCCCTGACAAGCATGGTCGGAAGCCCGCCTCCTAAATCATCTAAATTGCGTTTGTAGAAGCGTAAAAACGTTACATTTATGTCGTTTCTATTTAGAGACTTGATTGCTACCGTTGTTGGTACATCTTTGTGGAGCAAAGGCCGCCAATCTACTTCATAGATTAGAGCGAAGCTGACATTTTACGGGATAATATACCCATGTGGTCAAGGCATACAAAGATACAAAGCACTCGTGGTGGGTCGAGTTATGGCATGATATTTACCTGCTTGCTTGCTTCTGTCGCGGGTACATATTATTTGTGGACGCGAGGTCGTCGACCTATGTTATAGATTTTTAATGGTTGCTGTTTAGTATGCTTAGCTCTAGAGCTTGGGGTCATGACATCAAGTATATCAGACAAAGGGGCCTTTTTGAAAATCGCAACGGCACGACACGGAGTCCCCATTTAAATAAAAAATCAGAACACATACCGCACTCTCCATGAGCTTTAGTATAATATATTAAAATATATTAAACACCGTCCGGACCCCACATTTTAGTGCAAGATAGAAGATATCCTATTTAGTAGGGGGAAACCCACAATATGGCAAACAAAGCGTTCACGTACAAAAAAACGAAAGCGTATGATGCCCAGAGAGAGAGAGAGAGAGAGAGAGAGAGAGAGAG